ATTGAATGTACCCTGGACTGCCAAGAAAACAAACAGCTTCAACCTGGAAAGGTTAAACCAGGCTGCTCCTTGGACGCACAGATTCTGAGGCTTTGTCTGACATACTTTGGACATGTTGTAAGGAGGGAGAGGTCCTTGGAGAGGAACATCGTGCTTGGGAGGGTGGAGGGACGGCGCAGAATGGGAAGACCCTTTATGAGGTGGATTGATTCAGTGACTGGGGTAATCGGGATGGGTGCGTCAGAGGCAGTGAGATTGGCACAGGATAGAGCAGGGTTTAGGGTTGTTGTACATAGGGTTGCTATGAGTCACAAGTGACTCAATGGCACGTAACAACAACAACGTATGGCATCAAACTGACCAAAGTTACTTGAAAAATTAGATAAGAACCTTAGAAAACATTAAATTTATGTTATCGGGGGATGAATAACTCAGAAAAGGGGCGTGTAAGTGATGACACACTCAAAAAATGTAATCAATGCCACAAAATGATTCATGTAGAAACTACTGAATTTACAAATGCTGTTATTCTTTTTCTTAATAAAATTTTTTAATTGTTATTTTAATGAAAGTTTATAGAAAAGTTAATTTTTATTCACTCATTGCTGCACATTTCTTCCCTCTCCCTTTATTCCCCCTCCCCAGTTCACTTTAGAAAAGACAATATTCAATGTTGCACAATTACTTTCCATCCCCTGCCTCAGTCCTCTTTTGTCATATGTATAATACCTAATCATATAATCCTTTTAAACAGTTATTTTCTTCATATCTTCCAATCTACTGTTCATTATCTTTCAACTCTTATCCTATTTTTCTCCCAAATACCCATGACAGATCTGCTTTATAACAGTGATGCTACGCACTATTTGTCCTTTTGTGACTGAGATATTTCACTCAGTATGCTGTGTTCTTAACAACAGTGGAGTGACTGGGCCCGGGTGGGGATAATGAATTCCAGGCCATCCAGTTGGGGTCAGCAAGCTGCCTTCTGGTCTGGGCTGGCATATGCACCAATAACTAATGCTGAAGAAGGGAAATAGACGAATTCTATAAACTTCTGCAGTTGAAAAACGATTGAAATTGCAATCCAGATGCATCAATAATAATGAATGACTGGAACGCAAAAGTTGGGCACAAGGAAGAAGGTCAGAGGTCAGAAAATTGACTTAGTGACAGAGATGAGAGGAGGATAAAATTTAGTACAATTAATGATTTATTAATTTCAAATACCTTTTTTTAATAAAAAATGCAAGTGATGACTATACACATGAACCTCACCTGATAGTCTATACAGGAATCCGATTGATTACACAAGTGGAAAGAATCACTGGAGAAGCTCAATACCAGCTGTGAAAACTAGGCCAAATGCTGACCATGGAACAGATCATCAACTATTCATATGCAAGTTCAAACTGAAGCTGAAAAAAATTAGAACAAATCCACAAAAAATAAAATTTGACCTTGAGTTTATTCCACCTGAATTTAAAAACCATATCAGGAACATAGTTGAGGCTTTGAAAACTAATGGTTGGAGACCAGATGAACTGTGAGAGGATATCAAGAATATCATTCATGAAGAATGCAAAGGATAGTTACAAAGACAGAAGAATAAGAAAAGACTGAGATGAGCGTCAGAAGAGACTCTGAATATCGCACTAGAACACCAAGAAGCCAAAGCAAGGGGAAGAAATCAGGACGGTAAAGAGCTGAACAGAAGATTCCAAGGGGCAGCTCAAGAAGACAAAGCAAAATATTATAATGTAATGTGAAAAGAGCAATTGTCAGAAAATCAAAAGAGATGAACTCACTCCACAATT